TACTACGTGTATAAATTACATAGTGTATTACTACATCGTGTATAAATTACATTGTGTATTACTACATCGTGAATAAGTTACAGTGTATTACTACATCGTGTATAAATTACATGGTGTATTACTACATCGTGTATAAATTACATACTTTATTACTCCGTGTATAAATTACAAAGTGTATTACTACATCGTGTATAAGTTACATAGTGTATAAATTACGTAGTGTATTACTACATCGTGTATTGCCTCATGTCTCGAAAACTGAAAATGGCATTTTATTAACCAATTCTGTATTTTTTTCTAGATGACGGACCCAGTAACTTGGGAAGTTCCTGTTGGCAACCTGGACCACTACTACATAGTGGCAACCACTACTGCCGTCGCTGTCATCGTCGGATGTCTATATCTGCTTGTAGTTACGTACGAGTACAAAATATCTCTTTATAGGAAGAAGAAACAGAATTAAATTCCTTGCGGCAGTGAAATGTACTTTAGTTTGGGTTAAAATATGCCAACAAAATAAGGCTTACGCTGTTTTAATTACGCCAGATCCACATTTTGATTGTGATGACTTTCACAGAAAATAATAAGCGCGTTGTTATACGCAAGAAATGTAAATAGTGACCCTCTGGTATATATAAAAAAAGTTTTTATATTATATAAATAGTTCATGATCGTTCTAGTCCACTAATTGTATTGTTTATTTAAAATTATAATAAACTTCATAAAGTCAACGGTTGTGTGTTTTTCATTCCCCGTCCCTCGATGACCACCAGTTTTATTTTGAACCCCGACGCAAAAAGAGGGGAATTACAGGACAATCTGCAGACTACCCAACTACTTATAACGTAACTGTCGTATTTGAGCTCATAAGTTTTGAAAGGAATGACTAGAAAGTTTTTCGCGAAAGCACCCTCTAGTTTATTTTTGCTTCACCTGTTAACACTTCATACGCGAACAACAGTAATATGCTTTATGTTCTTAAATTGTTTGTAATATGAATGAAAAAGCAAAACCAATTTGGTCTTAGTAATGTTAAAAGCGAAAGCTTGCGTACTTTGCAACATTTCTAAATTGGTTATTATTAATATCAGCGCCATCTATCCCCCTTTTTGGAAAGTTAATGGTTTCACCACACAACGCAGTCTCAAACCCAAACTACAAACCTCGAAGTACGCATGTTGTAGAGCTTGCTATTTAGTTAGTTTTGTGTGGTTGAGATGTCGCTACTTTACGCTATTATTACGATCGTTTCGAAACCTTTGATAATGTTTACATTCGTATTTTCTTTCAGCAGAGTGTAGAAGGCAAATTGTAGATGTAGGACGAACGCTTTTGTCCTCTTTCTTACGTTTACCTCCTTTATGTTGGTTACCACCGTCGTTATGAATGATCTTAAATCGATAGTTATTGTATTGGAGCTGAATCTCGTTATTAATGCAGCAAGCAGGCCAGTGTAGAGATCCCGACGCTATGCGTTCGGTGGATAATAACGCAATATAGGACCTCCAACAAGAGAGAGTATTTGGATGCGAAACGGCTAGATACAGGAAGAGGAAGCACCGAGGTCGGGGCGGGTCGGGCACCGGGCGAACGGCCGCGGGAACTCACGCTCGCACAGATATGGATTTAAGATTAACGAGGCCACGTCAGCGCGCGCAGGGGGCATGTTTACATGCGGTGCAGGCGCGGGGGGCGGCGGGCGGATCGATTGCTGGGCGGGGCGCGGGCGCGGAGGGCGGGGCGGCCCACGGCGCGGCAGTGCTCTTTGGGGCCGCGTCCGCGCGGTCGTCGCAGTCCCGGAGTGCGGCACGCCGGAGTGTGTCCGCGGGCGCCCGGCGGCGGCGGCGAGCCTCGCGCCGCCCGCCCCCCGCCCGCCCATGCCCGCGCCAGTAGTGCGCCCGAGCGCCCCCAGTCGCCCCGCCCGAGAGCTTTGCGCGCGCGCAGTCTCGGCCGACCCGATCGCGCTGCGCCCTCGCAGGGCCAGCCACCGCGCCTGCGGCCTCTCTTTCTGTGGGCGCATCAGAGCGACGGCACAGTGCAGGAGGTACGCTGTGAGGACTACGACTCTCGCAACCGTATCCGCATAACGCGCACAGCGCACGGCTGGCGCGTCATCCCCTGCACCGAGATCTACGATTCTTTCCGCATCCCGCCGCCTCCGCCGCGTGAAAAAAAGGAACGGCGCCGGCGCCGCCGTTCGGCCCGATCTGACCGCCGACGAAGCGACCGCGCGACTGATCACCCGGCCGACCGCTCGGCTGACCATCCGGCGGATCGTCCAGCTGACCGACCAGCCCGATCACCGTGGCTGGCGCCCGACCTGGAGTCGCATATTCCCTCCCACACGATCGCAGTGCCGCGCTCAGCGCAACCATCTCCGCCACCGTCGCCGCCGCCGTCGCCACCACCGTCGCCACCGCCGTCGCCGCACCCACCGGTGCCCTCGGAGCCGACGCCGCTCGACAACCTGCTGGCTGTCGCCGAGCTGGAATTTAACCAGCAGCGCGGCTCGGACCTGCTCGAGCTGGAGACCGGCGGCGCACAGTACGGCTTCCTGCCGGAGGATCAAGTAGCTCGAGACGTCATGTCTTTCGAGCTCGGTGAACCGAAACAGAATGAAGATATGTTCTTCGATCGAAAATCGCACGTGCAGGTTGATCGAACGGACGAAAACGGTTTCCAGAGTGATATGACCCATAAAGATCTTTTCGAGACCATCAGCGAAGCTCATTACTTGCCAGAACTAGGTGGACCGCATGATGAGGCGCTGCTCGAATCACTAGTTGAAAAAGGCTGTGAAGATAACCAAATTCTAGGCCAAGCATTGGACAAACTTGCCCATTTAGTGCACGGTTCTGGAGATTACGCCGAAGAGGAAGACGACATGCTGCTCGGTAATGCGCCTGTCTCGGATATCATAGATCGATTGGAACAATCTCTCGAGTCACCGGGAAGAAGTAGCATAACTGCTGCACAAAGCTTGCTCCACTTACACAACATAACTGATCACTTCCAACCTCCAGATTCCCAGCAAAACGTTGATCATACATACATGTCGGACGAAGTATTTGAGTCGCAGGCGTCCACAGAGCGTACTATGACAACTCTCAGTACTCACACAGAAGCTACTGAAAATAGTCACATAAAATATGAGGAGAGCGTTGAAAAAACACTAGAAGACAATACTGAGGATGCCGATGCTCGCAAATATCTGTACACCAAGCAAATACCTGATCCACACGAAACCTATGACAAATCGATGGATGATCAACATTTGCAAACACTACCGGATCAAAGTGAAATGACTGCACTTAGTGACGCGCCCAATTATGGTGATAGTGCTATGTGCATAAAAAGTGAAAATATTTCTGACGATGATACTCAAGCCAAAAATATAGAAGAAACAGTTCCAATTGCGACTCTTGACTTTAAAGAACTTGAAGACAATTCAAGTAATGGTGCAGAATTAGTAGCAACAGATTTGAGCATAAAACACGTAGAGAAAAATACAACGCCTATGGTAGTCGCTAGCGTTGCTGAGACTACTAACACTATCGAAGACAATATTTCTGATAAGAGCGATGAACAACCTAAAGATTTAACTGTACATAGAAGAATGCTTACTCCGCATGCGTCGCCGAGGAGGATAGATATACCGCGAGCGCCCTCGAGGGAGTCGGACGCGATGCAATCACCGCAACCAAGTGGTATACCAGCTGTGCCATCGTCACCGGAAATATTTACTATGCCACCTACAAAAATTAAAAATACTTTATTCTTAGAAACATTACTTTCCTCATCGTCGCCTAAAATGTATACTTCTGAGGTGACAATAACAAAACAGCAATGTGAACCGTTAAATTTAGGTAAACACAGAAAATCAGCTAGCCCTACAGTCTCAAGCTGCTCTGACGAAATGAAAAAAATTAACAAAGAGTTCGGCGAACCCCCAGAAAAGAAAACAAAGTCAGTGGAATCTACCACAGAAGAGGAAGATACAGTTAAGATCGCAGTATCAGAAAATAAAGACAACAGATCCGAGCGGCAAAGGGGAGATGACGCTAGTCCGTTGAAACAATTTCAAGTTTTGAAGATGTGTCCTAATTTCAACATTCCAGATCCTTTATTAGTACCAAAAGATAAATTAGATATGATAATCGATGCTCCAGCCAGGGAAATACCGGCGTTATTGATTCAAAGACCCGAATTGAGGTTACCACAGGCATTCTCGTTCCCAGCGTTATTGCAAGATCCTAGTATTAGAGTTGTGTCACTATCACAGTTAGAAAATATGATCGCAAATAAAACACACGAACATTCAACTTCTCAACATCCAAAAGAAGTATTAGAAAAAGAACCAAAGGAAACAAATAAATCGGTGTCTACTACAACGAAAACGCCTACAAGTACCACTAATACGTCTAGTACAGAAAACGCGAAAGGGAGAGAAACGCCGACCAGTGCCAATAAATATAAGAACCAACCAAAACCCATACCGTCAATGGATGCACTGGCAGGTGACATCGACGCCGCAACGTCCGCTGCACTTAATCAAATGCTGTGGTTACCGTATCTCAGCCAACTCGAGGCTATGGCAGCGTGTTCACAAAATATGGATTTCCTGAAAGCTTTAAGTTCCTCAGGGTACTCTGGGCCCAATTACCCGGAACTATCGCAAATGTTTAATCACCCGGGTCGGTTCATGAGCCCTGCTGGATTCCCTATGATGCCACCAATGGATTATGATAATCGTATGCAATTTGCCATGTGGCAGGAGGCGATGAAACATGCGAATGCATCGGGTTCACATAAACCAAATGCTAGTAATACCCTAGAGGCACCGATGAAAGAAGTATCGTCAAAATCTAGTGATGTTCAAAATCCGTTTGTACATTCCACTAAGAACACCCAGAACAAACAACATTCGGCCGCGCGTACGAGTCCGATAGCGCATAATTATAACAGCAGCCAGCGATCAATGTCCCACAATCCGTTTTTGCAAGGCATGTACCCTGGCATGAACTCCAATATACGGCCTAATATGCCGCTGCCCGGTTTGCAAATACCCTATTTTAATCCTAATATGATGGGAAGCCAAAGATCTCCAAGAACAGGACAGCAGAAGAGTCCTACATCACCGTATTATCCGAACAATAACTATTTACAATCGGTAAAACATTCTGAGGGCCATCATCAGCGGAGTAGTAGTACGGGCTCTGTGGAGTCGCCGCGTCCGCGTATTGCTGTGAGGTCTATGAGTTCGCTGCAGAATATGATGGAGCCGCCGTCGTCGGGGCGTCCTGCTAGGGGTTCTAGTGGGTCAAGCTCGTCGAGCGGGACGCCGTCGTCGCGGCGGCGCGACGAACCGGAGGTGGGCAGCACTACGCCGCTCGGCGAGCCGCCGCCACCGCATCTGCCGCACAATCCGCACGACCCTTCATCCTTTCCATTATGGCATCCGCTGTTTGGCAAGTAAGTCATTTATTTATTTACTATGCAATAGAATTGGGAACACAATACAACTGCTGTTGTAAACATCACTAGAGGGGTAATAAGTTATGTATACTGTCCATAAAATCAGACTTGTAATGTCATCGGATATCACGTATTATAAGAACCGTTTTCACTTTACGAATTTTATTAAGTATTAAGCAGCCGTAGGTTTTCGTATGATTACGAACAAAATTCACATCTAACGCTTATTTGAACTTGGGCTTATTATTAATTGAAGAACGATGTATCGTTAAATGGTAACAATATAATGTAAGGGATTATTTTTTAAGAATTAGTTATATTGTATGACTCTTTGAGAATAATTTCCAGCGTCATACACGCATATTTAGCATATATACGTGTTATAGAATGCTCTTGTATATGCACTATTTGCGCTGTAAGTATATTGTTTAAATCACTCAATCAATTGGTAGTGATGTTTGTGTAGACGATTTTGTTTATTCCGTTTTTAAACAACTCTATAATTTAATTTTAATAACACCGAATCATAAACAATTCGCGAATTTTATTACTGAAATGTCTTGAGCATAATTAAAGTAATTTATGATATATTTTAAACTTTATTGCAGTCATTACCTACCTTAATGCTCTAAAGAGCCAAATTATTTTCTTTGGTCTTTAAAGTTAACTACCTATTTGAAATAAGATATAAGTATATATTTTAAAGAAAGTTAAATTACAAATATATACATCACAGCTATTTTGTACCTCCTCCTTGTGAAAAATTTCGTTCAGGGACGTACTGTCACTTTGCATATTTCTGCCGTCAAGTAATAATATGAGCATTACTGCGTTCCGGTTTTGACGGGTAAAGGTATTGATGAATCCACAGACATACGGGACTTGTCAACTTACTACGTCTCAGGGTGACCACGATATGAGTTTTACTGTTGAGTACCGTCTTGTATGTATATTTAAAGCTAGCTCGCTAAATGGTAAAGGAAAGCTGTAACCTGTTACAAAATTAATATTTACGTAATAATATACCAAGTACATTAACAAAAATACAAACTGAATAAGAGCGGTTACACACGGCATTTATAGGCAATTACATTGATGCAATCGCGCGTTTGTATCGATGCAATCGCGCGTTTGTATTGATGGCAGTCGCGCGCTTGCATCGCGTATGGTGACAAATAATTTACCTTTATTTCATTAAGGGTTAAATAAGAATTATAATGTTCTTGTTGAAATATATGACTACATTTTTGAAGTTCTAATATATTTATATTGAAATCACGAGACTTAATATTTGTATTTGTGACAAAAAGTAACCTACTCGTATGTCCTACTTAGGAAAAGTTATTGAGATAGCTTATATTAAGATTATCATTTCCTAAGTTTGAATCTTATATTAAAAGTATTTTAATTGAAAAGTCCTATTACAAAATTGAAGACGACGTGTTGAAAGTCGATAAAGCTCTATATACCACTAAAGTTAGTAAAGTGTATTCCATAGCATTAAAATTTATTTGAAAACAGCAACCCCTAGAGCTTCTTGCTCGTTTTATCTCAGGGAAGTCAGCACAGTGAGTGAGCAGTAGATTAAAAAAAATTCAAGAGTAAATTTATGTTACTTAGGGGATAAATTACTTTGACTTAATAGTTTTACAATTCTATATTGTTATATGTATAATCTAAAGCATAGGTTCAAGGTAAAAAATAATTCAAAACGCGTGTTTTTTATATATGTTATGCAATTTTTATCAATGCAATCGCGCGTTTGTATCGATGCATTCGCATATAAATCGCAAGTGTAGCGATGCAATCGCGCGTTTGTATCGATGCAGTCGCGCGTTTGCATCGCTGCTAGATGTCGCCATGTGTAATCACTCTAAAGAGTAAACCTACTACCACCAAGTCAATTGAGTGCGTCCGGTATGCACAAAGTGCAACTGTAAGGGACCCGACGACAGCCGAAACAAGGCAATTGCCTAGTGGCATTCAACAAATAGTGGTACTGTAATAAATAAATAAAGATTTTGTATAAATGTTATTGACACTTCAACGAAATATTTATAACTTTAAAAAAAAACCGACATCAAAAGTATGTGGAATTTTTTTTTTTAATTTTTTTTTTTTAATAACGCACACATCTCAACATAGCCCCGCACTAGGGAAACCCTGTGTCGCGGGTGCCATGGACACACACATAGACAACCACAAATTACACCCAAACTCACGAGAGAAATAAATGTAGGTCATACAAATATTTCTCCCGGCCCGGGAATCGAACCTGGGACCTCTGCGTGGCAGTCCGCCGTGGTAACCGTTCGACCACGGAGGCAGTCTTATGGAATTACATCTATTTGCCGAGTTTTATTGTAATTCGTCAACTAAAAACTATGTGGATTTCTCTAGACGAGTTAAAGAACGTCTCGGGTTACATTCCGGGCAGAACCAATTTGGGAAATTGACTTTTCTAAATTGGTTCTGATCTATTGTGTCAAACCAAAACACAGCAACACAGTGTTTTGTGATTAAAATACAAAAATCTTTTACCTCTTATTAAATGAAAAGAAATTCGTGGACAGAATTCTTTAATATCTTATGTACAAAGAAACTGACATCAAAAGTAGTGGAATCGATACGTTAAGAAGTCAGTCCAAGGATTTTATTTCTAACTACCTGAACTCAAATTTTTCCCTTGCTAATAGGGTTCATTTTGCTTGGGTCGAACTGCAGGGTCTTATATTATATTATAATTAAAGCCGTTTCAAAAATGTATATCGTATACTGTATATGCTTAGAATAATAACGCAAATTGAAGCGCGCCAAAAGGGCCTACACGAGCGGGCGGGCCGTCAGTGCTCAAGGTCAACTTCCACCGCGAACAGATCAAGAATTTTAAAAATGATGAAATGTGCTGTAAATCAGTGTAAAAATACGTCAGACAAACATAAAATAGATACTAACATCACATTCCACAAGGAAGTAACGCGTTTCAACTTGTATTTTTATATAAATATTCACTAAAACCGAACATTAACCTACTACTAAAACTAGCCTATATGAATTTGATTTTTGCCTCACTTGTGACAGTTCGTTTGATATGAAACTATCATTCTATGCGTTATTATTGTAAGTGTATATGTTCTATTTATCGTTGGTATATGTAAAGTCCCTATCGAATACAGCGGTTTTCTTGTAAAATTTAGAGGTAAGTTTGTGGTTTTTGTTTCTATCGAAAAAATGTTTAAGGAATCGTGTTTTTTTTTTCACATCGTATACTAATCAGTATCGTCAATTTTAGTATATATTTTTTCCAAAGTGATTGGTCCAACACTTTCACTGCTGTGCGGAATCAACTAAAGCCATTTGGTTTGAGATTATATAGACACAAGTTTCAGATAAGAAAACTGCTTAAACGACCACGTTATTAAACTTAAATGGCCAATTATCCATTTAGAATTTTTTTCACGGTTCCTATTGAGGTGGGATTTAATATCCCAGTGGGGTTAGGAAACTTTCAATAACTTTGCCTTTGAATTATGAAAAGCATCCCAATTTTTTCAGCAATACCGTTAATATTTCTTTACAATTTCTGTAATAAATTCCATGTTCGAAAAGTTTGTTGAATACGTAATTAATTTTATTTTTGTGTTGTTACTTTCGAAGCTCGTTGTATTTTTTTTGCGTTATTACTTGTAGTTGTCGATTTTATATTGAAATTATTTCAATTTGGAGTCCCAACTTGGGACTCAGATAATTATCAAGATCTTTGATAATTATCTGATATCAAGTTCTTTCGCGATTGTTACATGGAAATGAAATTATTTTCTTTTCGGATCTAAATCGTGTATATTTATTTTTCAAACAAATCAACGTTTCAAGCCCTTTACAGGTCCTATGGTCACGGCTTAGAGTCAGCTGTGACCATGTGACAAACCTAAATTTCGTGCTCTTTGCAGGTCCCATTGTCCCGGCTTAGAGTGAGCTGTGACCATGGGACAAACCGACGTTTCGGGTCCTTTACAGGTTCCATGATCACGGCTGAGAGTCTTGAGAAAGGGCCCGAAACATTGGTTTGTTTGATAAAAAAAAACAAATTTACGCGATTTATCCGATAATTATCCATGCTGATTCATAGTCTTCTCTTTACCACCACAGGCAATTGGTGTGGTCTGGCGCATTATTATTATAGCCTCTTATTTCCACTCAGTTTCAGATAGACGGTATAACAATAATTAACCTAAATTCCACATTTATATCTAAGCCCAAAAAAGAAGTCTAGACTATCTATTTTAGATTGCCTATATTCATAGTCTGTATATTTATTAGGTCAGTTAGGCCCGAATGGGGTTATATTCATGTGTGCCGAAATTAGCGCGGAAAAGGTTAAAGGTGTCACTTTGGACACATCAATGTATTCGAGTGGAATGTTTATTAAAAAATCAGTCAACCGTGGTCATGGGACATTTAGGGTCGTATTCTAGAACTCTACTCAATGCTCAAGTCAGGATTTGAACAGACTTGAGTATGATTTCAAGCACTGGAAATACGACCCTAATGGCAAGGACTTGAGTATGATTTTCAGTGCTCACTGCAATACTCAAGTCCTGACTTCTGGAATACGACCCTTAAACAGCGTTGATTTGTTGAACGTTGATTATTGTAGCCATGGTAGTACTGTTGAAGCTACTGTCTCTCAAGCAGAGGGCAGTGGGTTCGAATCTGGGCTCGCACCTCAACAATTAGTTAACTTCAATATTCCAAGTATTTCTCCCGTTCTAAAAATAATTTTTAATTGTTTATGCATTACTTCATACCGGTAACTGTTCCTTCAGCTGTACCAAGCACAAGTCCGTTTGGAGTACTGCTGCCACCTATGGGACGACTCTGCCACATAACAACTGTCCACCTAGGATTCCTTCGACAATCGTGTCTAAAGATTTATAGGTGACTCGGAATTAGTAGAGGCCAAGCTGCAGAACCTTGAACACCGCCGTAAATTTGCC